ACGAGACTGCAGAGCATCAGTTCCCTAGAAAGGCTGGAGGGACAAATGAAAAACATAACCCCAGGACAGGCTGGTGCGTTTCTCTCACTTTGTTTGAATGACAGAGATCCAAAAGCATGAAAACCCATCTCCTCCATCATTCCTCAGGAGAATGTAACATGAGGATGTCTCTCCTAGCATCAAATCTCCAGCATTACCTCTTTGATTCATTAGGGACTTCTCCACAGTCCTGCCAAAGCCAAGTAAGCTCACCACTGTTCCTCCTTCACTCACCCTCAGAAGCATCTCTCCTAATACACCGAACCAACCTCGCACAGCAAGCTGCTCTATATCCTTTATCCAAGAACACCTCTTTGTTGCTTCATTTCTCTGAGAAATGAAATTAAGTGAGAGGCAACAGAAGGCTTTTAAAAGTGGACTCTACCATAGCAAATTGGACCTTCTCACATACAAAGCTGCAAGTGAGTCCTTGCAACAACTCACCCTGCAAGCGAGGAGTCCAAGGTCTCCTTTCTTGTCACTGTGAAATTCACAGACTCACAGAACAGTTGAGGTTGGAAGGGACCTCTACAGATCATCTAGTCCAACCCCTGTTCCAGCAGGGACACCCACAGCACGTGGCACAGGGTGGCATCCAGGTGGGTTTACATTCTTCATTTCACGTCAAGATTGTTGTCCTGGCTCCTCTTTCCAACTTCTAAATAAGCTACCAACACATACATAAAAAAAAAATAAAAGCTGAAATTGCCCTGAATCCTCTTTTACACGAGCCCAGTGGCTGGCAACAGTCCCAATGTCCCTCATCTTGCAGCAGAGCCAAGCAAGGCTCCTGGGTGCTGAGCACCCCATCTGCTCGAGCACCTCAACCCCGCCTGGGCAAGCAGGGACATCTGTGATGGAAAATCCTCAGCCGAGACTCTGGCAGAAGTTGCCTCAAAAACGCGTTCTCAGCTTTGCAGCATTTAGCAGGTCTKCTCCTCTTAACTACGGGGTCTGCAACGGGGTCTGCAAATCGCCCGACGCACTCAACTGCCCGCAACACGGCTGGGAACCCAACTTGCTTGGCCGACACCTGAAGCACTCGCGCTCTGCCAGCAGCCCGCTCGGAGCGAGGGAACTGCTCCAAGGAATTGCAACCTGCCTGTAGCCCGCGGCGYTCCGAGCGCTCCGCATCCTGCCAGAAACGGTGTTTCCTGCAGCAATTAGCACTTGCTTGTGCAACTGCAGGTGTTGGACGACTCTGGAGCTGGGATGTTCTTACAGCTAGAAGGCATCACTGAATTCCCTCGCTCGGCTCCTCCGCCTGGCTGTGGAGCAGGGTCGTTTCCAGCTTTTTGTTGGTATTTGGACTTCTGGTAACTTCAGCGAAGGTTTTAGAAGGCAGTTTGGGAGCAGAGTGGGAACCTGCTCCTCAGAAATGCTCTACAGCTCCTCACAAGGGAGGCTAAAAACCCTGCTCTGCTGTCATGCCCTGGACACACTAACTGTTCCTGCTCACAGGACACTTCCATTTACTATTAAATGCTGCTTTGCTTTTGCCTCCTGGAGAAGTTCTTCATCTCACAGCCTGCACCTTCAGTGCACTATAGCGTCCCATCCCTCCCCACCCACGGTCCAGAAAAAAAAGACCCACCTGATTTTAAGAGTGCCTCTCGTCCCAGCAAAGGTATGCAGAAAAAAAAAATAAACAAGAAGACAGCATTGGTTTCCTTAGGGAGGAATTGATTCCAACGGGCTAGGGGCACCAAGGTGCATCATACTGCAAACACAAACCTTGGCCCCTGCCTTCACAGAATCACTGAATGGTTGAGGTTGGAAGGGACCTCTAGAGATGATCTAGTCCAACCCCTGCTCCAGCAGGGACACCCAGAGCACAGGGCACCCGGTTGCATCCAGGTGGGTTTGGAAGATCTTCAAAGGAGGAGACTCCACAGCCTCCCTGGGCAGCCTGTKCCAGGGCTCTGGCACCCTCACAGTGAAGAAGTTCTTCCTCACATGGAGATGGAACTGCCCGGGTTTCAACTTACACCCATTGCCCTTTGTCCTGTCACTGGCCACCACTGAGAAGAGCTTGGCCCCTTCCTCCCTACATTCCCCCTCCATGGATCAAATGGATCCCTTCTCAAATGGATCGGATCCCTTCTCAACCTTCTCTTCTCCAGGCTGAACAGGTCCACCTCGCTTCGTCTTTCCTCGTAAGACAGATGCTCCGTCTACCCATGCACCACCCTTAACCACAAGCAACTGGTGCTCCTCTAATACCTATGACCAGCCTATGACCAGCTCTGGGCAGTCCTAGCACAGACAGGACCACGCAGCACCTTGGAAAACAGCAGCTCTCGTCCAGCATTCCAGGGCCATGGAACCGAGGAACGCGTTCAGACATCCCGTTACACCTACATAACTGAAAATCAGCACTTCCTCAAGAGACATTAGTGAAAAAAGTGCCAGCTACACGGGASAAATCAATACTGTTTTGAGGTGCTGGACAGACCTGATGAAAGGTTTCTTAAATCTTCGTTTTCTCATTTGTAAAGAAGAAACCCTTAACATCTGCTTCCACAACACCTCAAAGCCCTGCAGAGTCACAGCAGTTACTCCAACAAACCATTAAAACCCCCTTTGCAATGCTTTCCAAGCCTGCTCTTCCCTGGGAACTTGTAAGACTTGGTCCTCCACTCCTTGGATCCGAGCCATTCCCATGGAATCCATGGGACATCATCCCCCAGATCCTCCTCCAGCTACTTCTGAACCCTTTCCCTACCCCTTCCTCGAGGCGAGCCGAGCAATAAGGCACATTCTGGGACCTGTGGTCCCCGAACAAGGATAAAATCGCGCTCCAGTTCCACGTTTCTCGCTTAATCATGTTTGAAAGTAGCCAAGGGTCTCATTTAAGGAGCTGGCGTATTTTTCCAGTTGCTTATAGTTGTTTAGGATGATGCCCCTAGCAACAATAACAGAACAAAGACTCGACTAAAACCATCATTTCAGCAGCAGGCGCAGAGCTCTCCATAGGGATGGAAAAGCGCAGGAACTTAGGGAAAACTTCAATTTCTGTCTGCAGTACTGGCAAAAAAAAAAATGTTATTTTGTGCTAAAAATATAGCTGTGACCATCCTCACTGAAGAACCCTGGTATCCTTGTCTAGTAATTCTACGTGTGTTTTCTACACAAGGTTGTGAAACCAGCATTAAGCTGTAATTACTGCAATAATGTCAGAAAATCTTTCCTACGGGCATATTACAGTAAGCACTTTGCAGCTGTAACCACAGCCATTAACTATAAAAAAAAAAAGATGTTTTGATCACATAAAGCTCAAAGCTGATGTTTGTTATTCACCAAGAAACGGTATCAACAGAAGTCCCTGCATGGAGGTACCCAGCACCCTTCGCTATTGCCACTTTCTTAGCAATAAGCTAAGCAACCTTAGCAAAAAGAAGGACTTTCTTAGCAGTCCCTTTCCTGATTAAGTGGGATTAATCACACGAGCAGGATGACATCAGTGCAGCATTTCAAGAAGCTCGCCAYAGTCGGTGCTTTTTCCATCACCAGAGGCTTCATCTCGAGCCTTTACCTGCTCAGCCACATGTAAACAACCCCCGAGCAGCTACGGACGACGCTGTCAAACACCAATTAGGGGCTCAGGAACGGAAACGGGAGCTCTGTGACCCTGGCCACAGCAGCGYGCTTAAAAACAAACGCGTTAAATCTCACCGTGCAAGCAAGCCCGCGCGCCGTGCACGGCACACGCCGATGACGAAGCAGGAGTCACCTGCTGCCACTAACCCGCCTCGCTTCCCCCAAGCAGAAACCTACCTATTCCTCTCTGAATCCAGCCGAAAATTAAAAAATAATTAAAAAAAAAAATTAAAAAGGCAAAGAAAGCCACGTTTGCTGGCAGAATTCAGGTAACCTTTGGGCATTTAAAGCCCCACGTGGCAATGGCAACATCTCCCAAGGTTTTGCAGCCCTCCCGCACGTATCCTAACCACCTCGCTGGCTTCATTTGCAGGGGGGGGACACAGAGGAAAGAAAATCTCGGAGCGGAGCACAGTTTAAAGCATGAAATTGAAACACTGGACACACAAAAAGAAAAGTCATCATCTCAAAAGCAGCTGTTTGAAATCAAACCGCATCCAGCACGTTAGTCTCCTACTAGGAAGCTGCATCTCCACGGGTATCTATTTCACACTGTCAAGGTGGAGAGACCTCCGTGCCGGGTTCCAAGCAAGTAAATAAATGAAAGCCTTTAGGTCCATCTCAAACGCCCCAAAGGCCACGTTTTGAGAGCAGCTTCTGGGCAGCTCTCCCACCTCTGGGCTCCCTGTCCCACGCTGCTTCTTGGGATGGTGTTTGGGGCATGGAGCAAGGAAGTCTCTGGCTTCACTGTCCCACCTCCCACCCCTTCCTTYGCTGGGCTTGCAAGCGGAGAGCACGCAGGGTACGGAGCTGGGAATGGTTTTCCCACGCTGGGGATGTCATTGGTAGCATGGGGAGCCGTCACCTCCTCCCGTGTAGGGATGTGGGTGTCCCGGGGCAGCGCGGTGGGCAAGGGGATGGGATCACCACGGATGCGCGGGATGGGATCACCATGGATGTGCGGGATGGGATCCCCACGGATGCGYGGGAKGGGGCTGCYGCGGATGCGTGGGAKGGGATCACCACGGATGCGCGGGATGGGATCCCCACGGATGCGTGGGATGGGGCTGCTGCGGATGCGCGGGATGGGATCCCCACGGACGCGTGGGACRGGATCACCACRGATGCGCGGGATGGGRYYRCSRCRGATGCKCGGGATGGGRYYRCSRCGGATGCWCGGGATGGGATCACCACAGATGYRYGGGATGGGATCACCACRGATGYGCGGGATGGGRYYRCYRYGGATKCGCGGGATGGGATCCCCACGGACGCGCGGGAYGGGATCCCCACGGATGCTCGCGGCGCAAAGCCGGGATGGAGCGGGGCACCCGCCGTGTCCCCCCCGCCGCGCCCCCGCTTACCCATGGCGCTCAGGTAGTGGTTGAAGGCTTGGCACGGCGGGCTGGGCGTCTGCGTGGCCTTGTCGCAGCTCATGGGCGCGGGGCTGCGCTCCGCCTCGAAGGAGAAGTATCCGCTGGAGGAGCGCGGCAGCAGCGGCGAGCGCCTCACGAAGAAGAAGAGCGGCGAGCGCGTGGCGAAGGGCCCCGGGCTGGCGGGGGGCGCCACGGGCGGCTCCGCCTC